TGAATTATTCAAGCTCTCAATTCCAACAAGATATAGATGAAAGAGACCATCTTTAGACCAACCCACATAAAATCAATCATTCAAGCTGTGTAATTCAACTTTAAACGAACCCAGATAAGCTGAAGCAATAAATCAATTAGTCACCTTGATAATTTCGGCGTTACTGAGCTCATGAGGAATACCAAGACCACCAGGGATTGAGTAGCCATGCGAAGTCATGAAGCAAAACGTCATCATTTCTGATTTTATTGAAGAGAATCCAAAATTCAATTCCTTTAGGAAGAAAACTTTGTTCCTCTCTTTCTATTCTTTGTTAGAAATTCATGGGGGAGAAGGGAAATAAGCAAAAAGCTTATCGCTAACGACTCACGTAAGCCGCAGAAACGAGATTTAAGAATCTTCTCGATTTTTTGGCTGTTGTGGGAGAAGAAGACAGCTTCAACTTAGATTTTTTTTGCGGCCTACGTTTGTTCAACTAACAAACAAACAAAGTATGCAAATACCCAGCTAAGTAATTATTTATGTCGACCACAAAACACACAAAGAACTTTATACAGATTTTAAACATCATTTTCTAATTTTTAATTTTCATCTAATTTTAGTCTATTATAACGAGCGAAGGAAAAATATAAATAGAAAAAATAAATAAACAGAAAATGTGATCTTTCTTCTCTTAAAAATTTTCAGAGTGGCTAATAACTAGAAGATAATTGTGTGTTTTAAAATTAGTAAAAATAAATAAATACTATGAGGTTTGTCAAGTGCTATTTAAAATGCGCTATTTTTTTTTAAAAAAACTAAATTTTAGCGAGCTATAATAAATATAAATAAATATTGAAATTTTAATAATAAAATCTTTTGAGTGATTAATGTGAGATAATAAACAAAGTCCCACATTGGAGAATTAGACAAGGAATATCTAATATATAAAGAGAAGTCCAACTCTAATATTACGAGACATTTTGAAAAGGAAACCAAAAGTAAATTCATGTGGGCCAGCCTCAAAGATCTAAAATGAACAATATCGTACTAATATAAAAATATAGAGTTGGACATGACCCTCATAATTCTAATAATTGGTATCAGAGCGATTTGACGAAGATATGTAAGAAGACCAAAATACCCTTTAAGATATATGAATGGGGATCCTTCAAGTAAGAAGAGGAGGTGGCATAAACTGTCAAGAGGTGGAGCCAGATGATTCGCTGAAGGACAAAGTACATGAGATACATGTGGTCCTTAGTTTAAGGAGGAGAATGTGAAATCTATTATTATAAAGAAATGTTCATCCCTCTAGGAGAAGCCACCTCATCAAATAGAGTGATCACATCTCGCCACGTGTCTCATTAGCATATTAAACACTCTGATTTCGTTTTAGTTTCAAATGGGCTTTTAAAAAAGTTAAAATTTTGTGGGTTTAAATAAAGTATATGGGCTGAAAAGTGTATTTCAAAATTAAACCNATCTATTATTATAAAGAAATGTTCATCCCTCTAGGAGAAGCCACCTCATCAAATAGAGTGATCACATCTCGCCACGTGTCTCATTAGCATATTAAACACTCTGATTTCGTTTTAGTTTCAAATGGGCTTTTAAAAAAGTTAAAATTTTGTGGGTTTAAATAAAGTATATGGGCTGAAAAGTGTATTTCAAAATTAAACCCATTTGAATGGTGATTCTAAATTATTAGGTATCTTCAGCGGTTCATCTGATGGATTCCGCCGTTCGTGTTGATTCATTCGGCTGGTGTTCTTCTCATCGGTAATAGGAAACCATTACTGTTACGGACTACATTCAATCGTCGTCATTAACGTTTTTCTTAACTCATTCTCATCATTTATTCTACTTTTTCTCATTCAATGAATCTCTTCTTCTTCGAGTCGGTGAATCTGCAACTATAAATAAATGAGTTTGTAATCGTATAATTCACCATTTCATGCTTCACATACCATTGTTGCTCGCCTTCTTTGTTTTGGATTTGAGGTCGCTGGCTTTTGAAACGAATCCATGAACGATTCTGCGAGCATGTTTAAGTGGAAGCTCATGGGACAGTGTAGAGGATCTGAGGATGGTTTACTTCTCGGCAGTTAGGAGAGAGTAGAGTCGATGTGTTAATCTCCGATGGAAATGGCGGAGGTGATGGTAGTTGAGACGGAACCGGTGGTTATGATAAAACACATAATCACCACCGCTCGAATTCATACTCCGATCCAAGCAAGAACAAGATTGAATTGATGATATAGCTCCCCCTCATGTGTCTTCATCAACACTTGATCATCTCTTCAATTGTCTTTCAGTTTTCCATGTGTTTTGATCTCTTCATCTACTTCCGTTGGGGATTTTTCTTTTTTTTTTGAAAAATACTTCCGTCGGAATTACCAACGAAGTTCTCAGATCAAGCTCTGAGTTCTCAAGATTCTGGACCGTGTAAATTCACATGGTTCCTTGAGTTCCTGGGTAAAAGATTCTAATCATCCTAATTGGGCTCTTTTGATTTTGATTTTATTATGTTAGTACTTGATATGGATGTCAATTAAAAGTTGTAACTTAATTATGGTTAGATTTTTTAAGCTCTGTCGAGTGTATGCACTATGCACTGCACTGATTTCATATTTTTGATAAAAGCAGACGGATAAATTAAGAAATACAATGCGTTTCTTATAAACATAATCTTGAGAACTCATAACTTCTCCGAGAGGGATGAAAGTTGTGGGAACATGTTAATTAGCATGAAAATCAGAAGGGGGGTAAATATATACTCATTCAAAAGTAAATTCCAGTAAGTTAGATATATATATATATATCTCCACCGAATAAATTTAAGTATATGTTATATTGTTAGTAGATAGCTGGATGCTGCAAATGTGTGTTTTGTTGCTCCTCCTTAAGAAATTAAAATAAACACTATAGCATAGCTTTGTGCAAAACTATTCGATCTTTTGTTTCTTGACAGTTAAAAACATATTTTGCCAATGATGGGAAAATAGAAACTGAATATAGATGTTGATTTGCAAATTTATTTTCTTAAATATCATTTTCTAAATTATATAAAGTATATTTTCCTCTGTAAATTTTGACATTCATGATACCCTTCTACAAATTAATACATTGTCTCAGATTTTTGCTATTGTATACTAATTAGATCAAATCTATTTAAAACATTTAGCCATCCACGTTCTCTAATTAGTATTTCATTTACAGTTCAAACAAAAATTTAATATTGTTTGTTGTCAACAAATGGTAATATAGTGAAAATACATAAATCTCTGATAGAAAATTCATTTTTTTCCAAACAATTACAAATATAGTTTGACAATGATTTGAAAGTAGAAAGTGTAAAATTGTTGTTTATTATCTAATTTTTTTTAAAAATAAGCATTATTATTAAATTAAGTAGATTTTTTTTAAATAACTATCTATACCTATATATGTTTAATATTTGCATAAGACAGCCAGGAATGTTCGATTATACAACAAACGATTTGGTATGGAAAAATAATCCAACATTCTAAAACATACCAAAGAACATTTATCACATGATATCTTTAGAAAAGAAGAGCGTTTGAGCACCACTACGACCAAATGAAAATAACAGAATAAAGATAAACTATTAACGTCATCGTACCATCCGTTAAAAACTAAACGATAATTAAAAATAATTGATTTAACCAAAAGATATTTAACTAATTAAAATAAACAACTTTCTAAATCATCAGACAAAATACTTCAACAAAATTCATAACAAACGCAAACTGCTCCAAAAATATAACCTCACCTTAAATTAGTTAAACATTTCGGCATACAAGAGATGATTATCAACGCAGTTCAGAAGCAAAAAAACAACCATCATACCAAAATGGACTCATACATAGGAATACACACACATGAATGTTCACAATATTTACGATTTACATATGCCACGTCACATGATGAATAAAGATCCACTATAAACGCATAGAAATATTCGATATGGCACTCACTACCAACAACACCAATGTCCAAATATATAAATATCTACAACTCAAAAAATTATTTCCGGGCGTACTATGTTAAGCTATAATCGTGGACATAATACCGATCGCCAACAACTATTGTGTTAATAACCAAATAAGTAAAAATACAAAATTTATATATCCGATATATCGATAACCAAACCAAAGTAAATTATGAAAAACATATAATACCATCTCTCCACAAATTTAAAAATTACAAAACAAAAAAACATACCAAAACTTCTCAATGCAAACTTAAGTATATCCCGCCCGTAGGGCGGGCCGACCCTAGTANACTATTGTGTTAATAACCAAATAAGTAAAAATACAAAATTTATATATCCGATATATCGATAACCAAACCAAAGTAAATTATGAAAAACATATAATACCATCTCTCCACAAATTTAAAAATTACAAAACAAAAAAACATACCAAAACTTCTCAATGCAAACTTAAGTATATCCCGCCCGTAGGGCGGGCCGACCCTAGTAATAAATAAAGTCCCACATTGGAGAATTAGACAATGAATGTCTAATATATAAAGAGAAATCCAACTCTAATAGTCTGAGACCTTTTGGAAAGGAAACCGAAAGTAAATTCATGTGGACCAGCCTCAAAGACCCAAAGTGGACAATATCGTACTAATATAAAAATATAGAGTTGGACATGGCCCTCATAATTCAACAATTAATTATAAAATGAATGTGTTTTTCAGTTTTGTCAAGTTTTAGGTAATGATATTTTAAAATACGCTAATCCTATGGTTTACCACCCTTTTGACTACTTTAAGTAAAGGTTTTGTAACTTAATTGCAAGCAAAGCAAGAATCTTTCAGAAAGCTTGCTAATCTTACATACACACAAAGTACAACAAGCAAAAGTCTTAAAGAGTTTAATTTATGTATGAAACAACAATTACATATCCAAAGGACAAAACTTCCTAAACATTTATCAAACAAAATGTAAACTGTTACAATATCAACAAGAGACGCACAACAAGAGCGCGTTACATTGGCCCAGGAGAGCCACTGTGCTTGTTGGCTACAGGAGTGTTCGTAGTGCTACTAGCTTCTGAGTTGTATCTGCTCGTTGTTTGAGAAGTCCTCCTGGTTGGTACAAGAGGATTGCTCTCTTCCTCATCAACTACTCGTGGTCTGTCAAGGTCCTTGCCTCTGAAAACTGGATGCACGTAAGCGTCTCTCAGATATTCCTTGAGGTTTAGATTCGGCTCTGTCGCTTTCTCCAGTGTATCCTTGACCATTGCTTCCTGTAAATACAAAAAATAAATCAGTTGAAACAGTTACATATATGTCTTTTGGACAGCTATTGTCTCAAGATCTTTGACTTATCACCTGTAATGGGAACCTTGAGAAGGCTGATTCGAACCGTCCTGCACAGTATCTGTAAAACCAGATGGTCAAGATAGGCTGAGGGAGAAGCAGAACTGTTACTTTTGCTAGTTTCTTTGTACTGAGCAGACCCATCATCAGAAGCTGTGATATTATTAAACATATGGTCAATCGTCTATGCACGTCTGGCCAGTATCTTGCACCACTCTCATATTTCTGATCATATACATTTATAACCTTGCAATAGTAGATAAAACACATAATAAAGAGAGTTAAAAACACAGTTTCAGACACATTTTAAAGAACATTAATGCTCTCTAGCTTTTAAGGTATACCTGATGCCGGAAAACAACATAAGAGAAGGCGAAGAAGACTATGATGAATGGAAGAAGAATAGGCGCAACAGCAGCATATACAAGACCTAGCAAGAAATAGAACTGAATCCTAGGTTCAGATGTTGCAAAGTCAAGATGACCTGGATCCATTGCTTGCTGTCTGTCTTGTTCTGTCTTAACCAAGAAAGCGTTTTTGAGATGAAAAACAACTAATGGAACAAGTCTCAGTATCTCAGCAGCAATGCCAGCCCAACCATCAACCATGATATATGTAATGAAGAATGTAGCTTTCATTGGGATTGAAACACCAACTGTTTTAGGAATCCTGAAGTAAAAAAAAAAAGAGAAAAAAAAGTCTTAGATCAATCTTTTATGACACAACAAGAACACTTCCAAGTACTTACTCTGTTGGTGGTTTCTCAAGAAACGACTTAAGCTGCTGAAAAGCTGTCCCAGTAATGATGCTTCCAAGAAAGACATTGACAATAATGAACCAGAAGTACTTCTCTGCTGATCTTCTGTCTAGATAAGAAAGTGATGTATATCCTTCAATCTGAGACATAGTCATCAGAAGAGTTGGAAGTAGAATGAGAAAGATCTTTAAGGCTATCCCTGGAAGAAACCCTTGGATTACAGACTTTACAGTCTTCCTGCATATCAACAGTGAAAATGTACTAAGCAGAAGAAATTAATATTATATGTTGTGGTTATTAGACACAAAGTGTCCCACATGGTAGTCGAAGGGATCCTTAGTAGTTTATAAGATAGATGGGTCAATCTAGTTATCACCAATTGGTTTTAGGTTGGAAACTCTAGCTTAACAGTGGTTTCGTGTTTGGAGGGATTACGAGCTTCTTGATATTCAGAAAAGAATGTACTAAGCAGTGGATAAATGAATGACTTACATTTCAATAAGGGGCTTCAAGAAAGGGAGAACTTTTTGGATCCCTTCAAGATTAGCAAGAGACTGAACAAACGCTATAGGAATCATGAAGCAGAAGATGAGAAAGAAGAGTGCAATGGTTGTGAGAAGTCTTCTTATTGAGAGCTCAACATATGGAATAGCAAGATTATCCCAGAACACATCTCTTGGTTCAGGAGCCCATTCAGTCAACCATATTGTAGGGTTATGACATTGCTGTGTCTGAGCACAAACAGCTGTTCCCCACCGTGATCTGAAAGAAACAAATGCTGCTGGAACTATAGCCATTGGATCGTTCATGATCTTTTCTCTTTCTATAGTCTCCTGTGTTATTGTAAACATTCACAAAATTCACACCTGATAAGTCTATGATCAAAATGTAAAATGTTTAGTGAAAGGGAGTGTACATACTTTCTCGGCTAGGCTCTGGAGCTTAGAAGTGTAGAAGTCAATTGCATCTACTGTAGTTCCCCAAAAGCCTCCGTAACCTGTCTATATAATAAACTAAATAACTAAAGAAGATTGCAAGGTGATCTCTGTGGTCAGAAGAGGGTTGTAACAGTCAGAGAGTACCTTTGTTGTTGGTCTACTTGATGGCTTCCTCTCGAATTTATTCTCGTAGTAAGTCACCCAGTTTTGCATAGCTTTCCTCTGTGCAACTAGTTTTGCAAGGTCATTTGCATTGTACACTACCTGAGAACACCAAACCAGAACATGCGTGAGATAGTTTCTTTGACCTCAATGAATAACAAAATGTTCATAAATAAACATACCTGATGACAAAGATAATGATCTGGATGATTGACACAGAAGAAGTGTTCAACATGCTCGTTAACTGATTCATCAGGATCTGGAGGAACATTTCTCACAAGTACCTGCAAATAAATAAATAAATAAATAAATAAATGCCAATACTATAAAGAACAAAGCAAAAAGCATATTACAGATAGATAAAAAAGATGGAATAACTCACGGTGAGTTGATCAGGACGACGAGTTTCAGATGCTAGATGTCTCAATCTCATAGTAGCCACAGTCCTGTACTCCATATATAACACGTAACAAGCCCACATTGAGAATACGTATGTCATACTTAAATGTGCCCAAAACCTGCAACCAATTATCTTCAGCTGTCTTAGATGATAAAATACACAAAAATTGTGCTATTACTTCAAAGGAAATCAAATCTTATTTTTTTATGTAAATATGTTAATGAAACTGTATATAACAGTCCACCAACCACCACATGTGGAGATATGTCTCTAATACCTCGGTGATCCTGGTGGAACATTCGATATTGACAACTTATCCACGTTACTAAATGTCAAGTCATCGATTTTAGCTAACGTTTCTCCTGTCCAATTGACAGGAACCAATACTCCAAAAGCAAATATTGTTATAGGGACGAACATTTTCAACCTGCATTTCAACAAAAGAAGAAAACTTAGCCTCTCCATGCCAAACCAAGACAATGCAGCATAGAAACCAAAGAACCATCTAAAACACATTCTAAGCCACACTAGAAACTGTTTTTGGATAGTTACGTACCCAAGAACGTAACCTAAAAAAAAAAGACCAAATTACAAAAATCTCTAAATAATCTTAAAATATCTAAACTACCTTAACACATGTAAAAAGATTAATAGCTTTCACTAATTTCGGATATTTTCAGATTGTAGTTCGGGTTGTAAATGAACCCGAAAGATCTAGCTCTTAGGCCACCCGTTTGAGTATCTTTTGTATAACGGTTTGGATGAAATTTCGGGTTTTTTTTCTATTTGAGTTCGGTTTGGATATCGGGTTTAGTTAAAATAAAACACCCAAGCCTAGCAAAGATAATGCAGTTGAGAAACCAAAGGATCATCTAAAACATGTTTCATATACCTCAATAGAAAGTGTTCTGTAGGGACGAAAAAGGAAAGACAAGATACTAGTTACGTACCCAAGAAGGTAGATGCGGATATACACAGCAGAGTCAAGTCCTGCGTGTTCAATGAGCTCAGGCTCAGGCATTCTAAGAGCTGCAGGCATCCAGTTAAGAAACTTGACATAAGTAGTCCAATCTAAGTTAACGAATCTGTTCATGACCCCTCTGGAACGTGTGGGGCTTCCTCGTATCCCTTTGAGATACCATTTAGGGAAGTAGACTCTGTCGTTAACGGGTTGAAGCCTAAGCATAGCAAACGCAAAGAGGAATGCAAATGCAGACATGAGGTTTATAGCTGCAGAGAAACCAATGTCTTGTAAAGAAGCCATCTCTTTGGTAAGATCACGAAAACAAAAAGGTTAATTATTTATGTTTATGGGTATCAGGAGATTAGGATTCAACCAAAAAAAGGGAGAAACTTGGTGATTGGGTTATGTTTTCTCAGAGATTTTTCCCGAGAAAATTGAATGGGAGAAAGGAAAAAAGTTGGCGCTTGGGGGAGAAAGGGTGTTAGAAAATGGATTATTCCCGTGAGAAGAGGAGAAGACGGGAGAGAAATGCGCCTTGAAAATGTTAAAGGTTTGAAGATTTCTGTGGACCTCTCATCTTTTTGATGAATCAACCAACGGTCTAGAGGAAGAAGGTGATGACGTGGTAGAAAACAAGACAATACAACAGAACATTTTCATTGTTCTGTCTCCTCCTCCAACTAAATGCTTTATTGGTGTCAGATACACATGCTTAATGGTAATACTGAAAAAAAAAAGATTAAATTTGAACACTACCAGATTATATTAATCTTTTTTTTTCTAAAACAAGGAGCAAAGCGTTAAAAGGGAATACAAAAAAACTGTATAGACAAAGATCTCAAAACAGGTGAGGGAAAGCAATGGTAACACAATACCAATAGACACCTATCAAAAAACAAAAGCTTGGGTATCCATTGGTAAGACATTACAAAACTAAGAGAAGGACAAATCATTGTCTACAGTTTCTTTTATCCAAAAGAGAGCCTCAAGCAACGTAAGAGGGAATACGAAATCCAAAAGAAGCGCTCTTAGCAATGAGCATTGCAGCTTTGATTAGTACCTGCAATTTATGTATCAGTTTAAACTAGTTTTGAATCACAAACGGATAGACAAGAAGTAGACAAATCTAAAACAAAACAATTTTTTATATCCCACCTAAAACTGTGTCAGGGTACATTTTATGAAAGCAAACTATTGGATCGAACAAAACTTGTTAATAAAAGAAAAAGCCATATATCATTCTTCCTCAAAGGTCATTGGAAGTTATGAATTTCTTAGCCGATGACAAGGTGTTGGATAGAAGCATGGCAATGGTCATTGGTCCTACACCACCAGGAACTGGTGTGATGGCTGATGCAACTTTGCAAGCCTCCTCATAGCAAACGTCTCCAACCAATCGGTGGCCACGTGGAGCATTTGGATCCTGCATGCAGTTCATAAGTATATGAATGTCACATACTACATTGACTTTAAAAAAACCGCCACGGTAACTGCTTTTTGTCACTTACCTCAATGTGATTAATCCCAACATCGATGACGACTGCTCCCGGTTTAATCCAACTTCCTCTAACCATGTTTGGTTGTCCAGCCGCTGCAATTATGATATCAGCTTCCCGTGTGATTTCTTCAGGGTTCTTGGTTTTTGAATGGATAATGGTAACTGTTGCATCTTCATTCTACACAATTTACCAAAAACAAATGTAACAAATGTCACAGTCAAAACGATAAAATCTTTTTATATATTATACATCATCTTACCAGTAATAAGTGAGCAACTGGTAAACCAACAATGTTACTCCTTCCGATAACAACAGCTCTTTTTCCTTTGATCTCAACGTTGTATCTGTGCAATAGCTCAATGCATCCCTTTGGAGTACACGGAACAAAATAGGGTTCTCTTCCTCGCATGACAAGAAGTCCCATATTTTCTGGGTGAAATCCATCTACGTCTTTCTCTTTAATAATCTTATTCAATATGTTGGCTTCATTCAAATGCTGTATATACATATCATCTCGATTAGTAATATAATATGATGAAGATAAATACTACTGATTGAAAATACTGTACCGATGGTAGAGGCAATTGAACAAGGATTCCATGGATAGAAGGATCCTTATTGAAGCTTAAAACATATTTCAACACATCTTCCTCTGATGAATCTTCAGGTAGACAAACATCAACTGATTTAATCCCAACAGATTCACAAGCTTTCTTCTTGTTCCTCACATAACTTGCGGAATCTTCTTTGTCCCCAACGAGGATTACAGCTAATCCAGGAACTATATTTTTTGATGCAGCCATTCTTGAAACTTGGATTTTGATTTCATCTCTAATACTTTTTGCCTCTTTCTTTCCATCAATACAGGTAAATCCAGTATCCCGAGAAGAAGAAGAAGAGGAGCGAATGGAGAGACGTATAGATGGAGATGTGTGTAATCGGATTCTGCGGGGCATGAAAACATTGTTGCGGATGTTAGGATGGATGAGAGGCGATGTGGAAACGGTAAACATCAGAGACGCCAGTGTAGACTGCTTGGTCGTGGCTTCCAACTTAGGGTAAAGAGAATAAGATATGAAGATCGTATGAACTAACGACGTAAGTCTCAAGCGATTTATATGTTGCTTGGAGAAAAGCAAATTATGTTGGCAGTGGCAGAGAAAGAAGGTATGTATACGTAACCCTAGTCCAATTCCGTTAGGGTTTTAAAAAAGCAAATAATTAACAATTATCCTCAAATTCCAGATGTCGTAGTACTTTGTAAACACGTCTTTGTTTAATAAGATTTAAGAGTATTTGCACTACGTAACTATAAAAAATAATGAAATTTGAAAATTACTGTGGAATTTTCATTAATACCCGAGAACTACTTCTGACAAAGCTATTGTATAGCAAAACGCACGCGGCTTCATCATTACACTTTTGCTTGTAACAGTAGGAACAAGAATAATTCGGACGAGCAAAAAAACCGAAGTCGAAAACCAGATTATCCCTTCAATTACAATTGGGTTCTGCATCATCTCTAGTATATTTCATGCAAATAGTTGACTTACCCGACTCACCATATTTGGAAGATGTTTACAGATCCCTTACGCTCTGAGAGAAAGGCTCCTAACAATTATGCGCAGAGAGAGTAACCAAGCGAGGACGGTCTAGTGGTCTTGAGGGAGCTTCGGCCCAAATACGGACTCGGATTGGAATACCGTTGGCCACTGGGGGTAAAGTTTAAAATCTGGGTTTCCCAGTGTCCGGTGACCGAGGCGTACTTTGGTCGATAATATAGGCTGATACGGACACTCGTCGCTAGTCTAGATCCACCTTGGTAGGTGCAAGGATACACCGGGTTATTCAAAAAAAAAAAAGAGTGAGCCAGAGAGGATCGGAGGAGACAAGATCAGGAACAGCAGTGTACCGGAGCCAGTTCTAGGGCTGATGGGCGCGCGGGGTTCAAACTCGAAAAAGCTCTCGTCTCTCAGTTCGTCGAAGGAGAGCGCTACCTAGGCTTCGTGAAATTTTGGCAATACTAGTTACTGCAACAGCTCATTACAGGGTTTCTCTCTCTTTCTTCTGGGTTTTGTTTCAATACGTGATTTTTGACAGATTAGTCATCCAGTTCCTGTTAAAGTGTTAAGCTTGAGTAGGTGTGCATTATTGCGATTTTATGATTACGCGCTTGTTCCTTATCAGCTCTTTCAAATTTACGTTTGAATCCAGAGTTTGTAGGTCATGTTGAAATTGGTGAATTACCAAAGTTTGAGTTTTTACTAGGTAATCACATTTATGTATCTGCTTTGTTTGTAAATACCCTCCTACTTGAATGGCTTCTCTTGACTAGAGAAATACTTTTTCTTGATTAACTTTGTTAACCAGTATGATCTCAAGATTCTCAACTAAATAGTTTATGTATAGAATCTCTTCCTCTCTTTGTGCAGTTCTTTATTTTCGTGTCCCCTTTTTGAACAACTGCTTGAATAGTAGCTTTTTTTTTTGTTTGTGCAGCCTTAGATTTCATAAATCAACTTAGACATTGTTTAGGGCCCAAAGGGCATGTTTTGCAACCTGGTCTGCCAAACCATTTGCTGACCTTGGGATGAATTGAAAAACAAGAGCGTTAAAAGAGGTAGATAGGATGTAGATATCATTTAATACGCCATAAATCTCCAGCTTGAACTCCTTCCTGTTGATGGTGTTGATAAGCAGTTGAGAGTCCGAGAGTATTAAAATCGAATCAAGACGTTGGGATAGAGCAAAGGTTATGGCTGATCAAACTGCCAAAGCTTCTGCCATCAAAGGCGATGAGACCGAAGTCACTGTCGCTGCATGTTGTGAAGACGCATCACTCTTCTCAACGATCCACCCTAAACCTGCAATGCGTGATGAAGGGTTCCAAGCCGCATCGGTGAAGATTTTAGGGAGATCAGATCTTCTAGGGGTTGAGGCGGATCGTGATAGGTGTATCGATCTTGTCTGGCTAGGAGGGGATTGAGCCATCATCCAGTCTCTTGCGTCGGTGATAGCTTTTAGGATTGTCTCCTCCGGCGTGAACTTTCTTTTTTCAAAGATCAATAAGTTTCTCGATTTCCACAGTGACCAAATAATCCAAGCTGAGAGGGAGCCTTCTCCGATTCCCACCGGTGGTAAAGACGGAATCTTGAATACTAGCTATAACCTATATAATAAAGGCATCGCTGATGCTGAAGAGAATCTTAGACTTTCCTGGCAGACTTATTTTCTCAGGTATATCAGACTTAGCTTTCCTTTTTGTTAAGTTTTTAGTGGTAGTGATCATTGCTTCAATCCAGTCTTAACTCATGTGACCAATTTTCATTATATCTTTATGCAAGCTTGTTTAACTAATGGAGCAAACCAAATGTTAAAAACCACAAGTTAATAATGAATATGCACTTGTTATATGTGTTTATCTGGTGTTATTATTGGTTAGTTAGACCATGTGCAACGGGTATTATGATGAATCCTTAGCACATAATCCTAAGCTAATTCCAATACAATAATAATATAAAGAGTTAATTGGCTGATACACCCCAAATGGGGGTCTATATTAGCCACTTGCCCATGATGGGACATATTTATTTTGTATGACCAAATTGCCCTTTTTTCTCTCTCTCTTCTTCCTTCATGCATTTACATGTGAGTGTCTCTTTTTTTTTTTTTTTCATTTCTCTCCTCTTATCATTTTCATAATGAATTACATGCAAAATAAATATGTTAAATATTTTTGAGTTCACTTTGATTCTTAAATAATAGTTAATACATAACACCTCTATTAAAAATATATAATTTTTAAATGTGTTGGTTGTTAACAAATATTGTAGATGTTAAAGAAGTATCCATATTTGGTGTTGATATTAGAGAAATACATACAATTAAATTTTAAATTTCATTATTTTTTTCATAAGTGGCTTTGAATCCTCTATTTTTTTGATGATATCAATTTTCTGGATTTTAGATTCGACGTCGTGTTAGCGGTTAACAAATATTGTAGACGTTAACAGAAGTGTTAATTGTTAACAATTATTTTTACGCTTCGCGTTAATAAATATATTCGCTGTTAACAAATATTGTAGACGTTAACAAAAGTGTTAACTGTTAATAATTATTTTTACGCTTCGCGGTAATAAATGTGTTAGCTGTTAACAAATATTGTTGACGTTAACAGAAGTGTTATACGTTAACAAATGTTTTTACGCTTCGTGTTAATGAGAGGAAAGAGAAAGGGTATTCTCGGCATTTTCTTGCCAAATGGTTGTGTCAGTGTTCTTTATGTCAAATCAATGGTATTTTGCTAATTTGAGCTTCAAATATGGGTAGTTCACTAAATCACTCTAATATAAAACCTAAATAAGCTAAGGATTAAAATGACTGAATCCTTACCCTAAGGATTAAAATGACTGAGTCCTTGTTGACGTGTCCTCTCTCTACTTCTCAGTCTCTGTATTTTTTTGCTCGTAAGATTGAAATCTGATGTAAAGTTTGATTTTTTAATTGCAGAATGGAAGAGAGGGTGGTGGTGATTTGGATTACTACTCAATCACGATGGATGGTTCTTGGTCAGATGGTGAGCTCTTGGAGCAGATTTGTACCCTTTCAAGTAAACAAGGGGAGTTACAGCAGCAGGAGAAGATTCGTATCCTTTTTGCTTGTTTGGGTCTTTCACAAAGCTTCGCCAGCTCTCCGATGACGACCATCCCTGTTTCTGGTCGTAATCTCCATCAGGTTTTCTCAATTATATTGAAAGTTTCAATCTTTAGCTTTGCCCTCTTCCTATTTTGATGATTTCAGTGTTAAAGTCGCTGACTTTTATTTCTTTTTCTTGTAGGAGAATCGAGTCATGCCTCAGCTTCTTGTAAGTCTTTCTCTTGTCTATCTTGAAACATCACTTCAGTTACTACAAGAACTTAAGATTCATGTTGGTAGTTGCTTATAGACTGAGTACATGGCCGATATGAATTGATGGTTGTGTTAACGCTGTGAAGAACAAGTTAAAAACTGTTGAAGGTAGTTTTTTTTCAAAGATTTTTTTATGAATCGCAACTTCGTTTATGTTTTGTTCTGGTTTTGGGTCTAGTGGATTTAAGCTCTTGTTGCTTGTACTCTGTGATGGTGAATTGACAAAGGGATTGAGAAAGTGGAGGTGGATTTGGCGAAACAAGTTGTGAGGATACTTGGATCTTTAACAAGGTATTCTTACAAACCTCAGACTATGTGTTATTTTCTTGTCTGATTTTGACTTTGGTATTCTTCTGTTTCTCAACAGACACTAGACCTTCTCTTGAGCACAATGGTCGATGTTTTCGGGAAAAACTCACAGACACAAGTCCCTGTTGAAGCATCTCAGATTGTAGATCTTATCGATTTCCTGTAAGCATGGAGTCATTGTTTTTATCTGATCTGACTACTCAAATGATTAGCTGTGTTAGACTCTAATGGAGATTGATTGTTTTGGTCTCTGTGTTAAAATTGTTGCAGACACCATGTTGTCCATTACGAGGGACAAGGAGGAGGAGTTCAACGTAGCAGCAAGCCGAGACCAGACATATTGGCCTTAATTGGAAGAGCAGCAGATTCTCTCCGACCAGATGTACAACACCTTCTCTCTCACCTAAGAACCGATCCCAATACGTCTATATATGCTGCTGCTCATCAGAATAACACCTGATTGGGACATTCACAGTCTCTCAACTTGGCTACTAGAGACAGGTTTGATATCTTATCAAACATGGATGAGTGAGTTGTTTTTAGATTACAAAAGTTCAAAACAAACTAATTTTTTTTTTCCTAAGGATTCATAAATGGAATCCACCATTGAACTGATTTTTCTACTTAGAATCCTTAACTATTAAATTAATAAGAAAAATAGTAAAATAATGCCTAAGGACTCCACAATGGAGTTCACCATTGTGGATGCTCTTATAGCCGTATATGCTACTCTTCTTGTTCCTGCTGCTTTTCATATTAAGATTTGCCCTTTTCTAATGCCTATATATTAACCGTC